TATCTTCTGTTTTATCATTTTTATATAATGCAGGCACCAAGGTTCTCACAACTTACAATGAAGGCAGAGTTAGAGTGCTATACTGAAACCTAAACAAAGATTAAATAAAATGAGAAGAACAGGGGGTTATAGCTTCAGGAATTTGGGGGCTTGAGAACCTAGTCTCAAATTCCAAAGCAACTATTAAAATTCAAAATTTCAATAATGGTAGGAGCATTACATGGCTCCGCCTGTTCATAAGTAAGGGGAAAGCAAGATAATATAGATCAAGGAGTCACTCTATGGAGATGAGAGTGTTGTCTACCAAAGAGTGCAATTTCAATTAAGGGAGGAAAGAAGGAGCTTGAGTTCATCAACATACAGCGAACATATAATTTGTTTGAATGATCAACTAGTTAGTGGAGTCCAACTGGTTCAAGAAGCTCAAACAAAAACTAAATGCACATAGAGAGATTTTATTGCAGTGAACATATGGTTAAGGTTTCATTACATGCCACTATCAGTTGTGTGGAACGAACTCTTTGACCTCACTTTTTCACATTAGTTTCCACTTTTTCTATAGACAGCATTTTATAATCATTTTAACTCTTGGGGAAATTATACATGTCATTTGGTGTCGCCAAGCTTAGATAACAAGTAGAGGCAACCAGAGCACAGGAAGACAGAAGCTGAGAAGCAAAGTAAATCAATGGGAGAGAGTATGATTGCCGTCTTACTCTTTTCAAAGAAGCCAATCAGAAGAAGCATTACTATGACGTGGCCAAGCTTGGTTTTCAGCTCATTAACAGTTTTTACTTCTAACCATTTTGGTCGTTCCTGCCAGAAAAGGTAAAAAGGGAAGATCTCAATTAACCGGGGTGCACAGAAACAAGTCAACAACACTGTACATGGCAAACAAAATTTTTCTTATAGTTGTACTCTTAGGAAGGTCAAGTATCAAATAAGATATCATTTGGACATGACAAGCTAAAGGGTATAGTTCCCAACCAACAGGCAATATAAATATTTGTCCGCTCATCAAGAAGGCTACAATTTCCATGAAACATTAACTGCATCATATTACATGCATTGCTAAAGTATAAAAATTGCTGTTGTTTACGAGAATCAATGATACCTTCAAGGCAAATAAGCCAAATAAACTTGACCTGTTTGGTGCTTTCCCCGTTGAAACCTGCTTTGCAAGGTCAAGATTGCTAACAAAGAGTTCATACAGACCCATTCCAAAGACTAGCATCACTGTTCCCAAAAGATAGACATCTGGAATCCAATAAAACAGTCATTAGTAATTTTCTAGGGAGCTTTTCAGCAACAAAGACATCCAAAAGATGAACCCAACCCCTTCAGCAAATGCATGTATGGTGATTTGATATATATATCTAGCAATTGCAAGTAGTCTGGTGACCTACTCACCAAGCTGAAAAATAAGTATACATGAGCCAAATCCTTTATCTTAGTTTTGAGTTCTTTCACAAGTCATCAATCAATTCCAGAATTCTACCAGGGAGAAGCAAGAATTAGTTTTACTTGCCCCGCAACTACCGCATTACAAAGCATTAGATTAACCCACTGCGAAAAATGCATGATACAAGGCTTAATTTGATGGAATGCTAAAGGAACATTGGGTGCTACTTGTGGGTTCAATTACTTCAAAATAATGAAGCAAGGCATAGCCATTAATACTGAAAACTATTCCCAATCACACACCTATGGCATCGACCAGCAATATAATCACTTTGCTACGATTGACGAGGTATTGCATGAAAGCTGACCCAACATAACTGCAGCCCTGCAAATCAAAGTAAATGATGTGATGATTAATACACCGTAAGAATGTAATGATCAGTACCTTCAACCAAATTGAGAGTACTATACTTGAGCTCAAAAGAGCCGTCCTTAACAGCATGTTATTGACAATTTGAAATCACATGCAGGTAGTGTTGCTATTGCTTGCATAACTGAACTTAATGCTTACACTTGCATCAATATTTGTGGAAAAACAATGAGAATTTCAGTTTAATTTCATGAAAACTGAACTGAAAATTTAGAAATTGTAACCCAAGAAAGATTAACTTAAGAGGTTGGAGAAGCAGCACCTTTATGAAACAGAGAAATGATCCAACCATAGAGCCCAAAACCCCAAGAATCGCCAAGAACCGACATCGATAAATAACCTGCACATCATTCAAACAAAATTAATTAATGCTAATAATAACGATGATGATGGTATAAAACACACACAAACAAAGAATTGCTTAGTTATTGTTATATACCTTCTCTATGTTCTCCTCTATAGATTCGAAGTTGAGTATCTTTGATGCAATTACAGGGGATGCACGAGATGACGAGCAAGAAGATTGTGCAGCTTCTGCTGCTGCTAAATGAACATCACGAGCTCTTGAACATTTGGTCGCAGCAGGTGAGAATCTAATACCATGTCCATGTGGGCTAAACCCAGGTACCCTTTTAGAATATGGACTCAAATTACGAGTCTTGAGCACGAAAGGTGGTATTTTGATGGGTCTTGAAATCATGGGTCGGGAAGGGTTCATGGTGGATGAAAGTAGAGAGCTTTTGGCATGAATGATAGGTACACTGAATTGAAGGCACCAAGTTAACTGAGTGAAAACGATGGTGGGTACAGGGGAAGTGCATGTACTGGCTAGCAAGATTGATGGTTCACGGAAACTGGAACCACATAAATCCACTTAAAGTTTGGATTTTTTTTTCTTTTTTTTAAAAAAAAATTTAAGCCAATAAAAGTATGGAACTTGGAAGCATGTTAAGCAGTTAAACTGTACTAATCTTAGCCCAAACATTGTCTTGTTTGTGTGAAAATCTATATAAATTATAGGGGGAAACCTCAATTTAGCCTCCTAATATATTACTATTATCAATTCAGCTCCAAGTACTTTTGATTTTATCAGTTTTATCCCCAATAATAGCCAATATTAAACGATATCAACCTTTAACAACTTGTTATCGGTTAAAAGCTTTCATCTAAATTTTTTCGTACCGTCATTTAAGACATCAAAATAAATTTTAATATGTTTTAGAACATAATTTTACATTGAAATTATGTGTTGTGGCTTATTAAACTTGTATTTGCATATTGAATGGAAATAACTAAAGATCATATACAAATTGTATAGAGTTTTTTAATAACCATAAGCTATTTAAAACTCGTTTATCTACTCGGTGAAAACTGAGCTTCCAACTAAAAATATAAAAAATAATACATTTTAACTTGAAACACGGTTTGAAACGCAGCGAATCGCTTATGAACGAACAGGCACTTAGAATGAAAGGGTTGGTGTATGGAGGGGGTGAGATTGTTTATGAGATAATATTTGAAGGGGTAAATTGAGGTTTCCCTTAAACATGAATAAACTCCCAAGGAGGCAGGGTGGGGCGGCACGTGAGTTCTCAATGTTCCTATCTGACGGACTTGCCTCTCTCCGACAGTCATCAACGCTACAGGTTCTGTCTGTATCTCTCTCTCTCTCTCTCTCTCCCTCTCTCCATGTGGGCATGTTTAAATTAGGAAAAGACTGGATTTTTAGAATAGAAGTAGCGGTAATGAACTGTAAAGCCATTGATTTTTGTATTTTGCTTGATTCTTTTAACACGGACAACAACAATCGAGGACCGAAATATTCATTTAGTTTTGCCATTATTGATTGCTAGGCTGAACACACTCTCCTCTTTGTTATAACTAACCAAATCCCACAGACTATGGAGGCTGTGGCTGAAAAATCTGACCCCAACGCCTTAAAATCTCAATTGGAAAGTTGGAACCAAACTTGGACTCTCTGGATAGTGTTTAGATTGACCAAATCTTAAGAATAAATGAAGGACTTGTCAACTAAAAGTGTTAATCAAACTAACGAGTTTTTTTTTAGATTAATGTGGGTGTCCGGGCTAGCTTGTGCGCACAACAACTAATTCTACAGGCCCTGAAGTTAATGACAATGTAAGTTTCCAGTAGTCATCATATAAGCAACCAAGAATTCAAACCTGAAATAACATAGAAAGAAAACCCCCTAGTACAAAACTAACAAGCTTTCTTGACTGAATTGGATGAAAGGGTTAAAAGGCCTCAAAAGTTGCAGTGCAATAGTTTGCGGGGCTCGAAATAGAATGGAGGATTCGGCACAACTCAAAATTGAAAGTATTAAGAGCATAGTTGTAAACAATGGATCTGCCGGGGTTGGTCTCTCTATCGATTAGATTAAAGACAAAATAAAAGAAGAAAAAATTCCGTTATTTTAATGTATGTTCAAATAAAAATAAATAAAACTGCCGAACACCCTAATATTTCACAGCTGAATCAAAGGGTACAAGATGATCATTGCCCCGTACTTCGTTTTTGGAAATGATCCTGTTGTTAAGCAAGGAAACGAAAATGGGCTAAGCTTTGAAGCTGCTTTACTTTCACCACCAATTTCAACAAGCAGGCAGCTACGCTTTTTTAGTGGGAATCCACATAGGACGTCCAATAAATTAGAGAGATTGCTCTAGCTTTTCATTAAAAATAAGGAGGTGTTTAATTTGAATTGAATTGCAAGATAAGAATATATTTTCTCAAGGCAGGATGGATAAAAAGGGTGCGGTTACCTAAGCTAAAGATTCCTTGATAGAGAAGAAAAGAGGCTCTTCAGGTACACCACTACAATAGCAGTAAGATGGACATACCGTAGACACCACAAATGCTTTAAAACTAGGAAAAGAAGATACCTAACCTTCCCCACCAAAGAGAACCAAGAACCCACCTTGAAATTCTTTACCTTGCTGCCTACCTCTACTCCTGTTAAGAATTCACCTTTCTTCATAACATAAAAATTGCCTCAAAACACCGAAAAGCCGGATGTTGTCACTCCTAGAGTGCCAATTATTACTTGTCACAACCGCCGTCAATTATGAGCAAGAAACTTCTATCCACTCCCCCACCTCGAACCCATTTTCTATGGTGGTTTGCTGCTATCTTTTGTGCCATCCTCACCATGGCAATAATCATTGCCGGCATCGTCGTCTTCGTTGGTTACATGGTAATTCACCCAAGAGTTCCGGTCATCAGCGTTGTCGGTGCTTATCTCCCTCATTTCAACTACGACGAAGCAGGGGTACTTGTAACGCAAGTAAACATCCTGGTAAGGTCGAAGAATGACAACATGAAGGCCCATGCCAGGTTCTCAAATTTCAATCTTGAGCTGTTCTTTGATGGGAATAGGATAGCAGTATTGTCAACTGCGACTCCATATGAGGTGAAGAAGAATAGTTCAGTTGATTTTAACTATGAATACACCTCGGATCCAATACCATTAAATCCTGTGCAAATGAATCATGTGGATGAATCCCTTAAAAAGGATGAGGTGAGTTTTGAGTTGAAAGGGGGTGTAAGAACTCAGTGGAGAGTTGGGGTTCTTGGCTCAGTTAAGTTCTTGTGTCACTTGAATTGTCAACTACAATTTCACCCATCAAATGGAAGCTACATAACAAGACGTTGCTCCTCCAGGTCTAAGTGATTGATTTGCTCATCTTTTGGTTTTGGATTTGGATATCTGTTCTTTCTTATTTTTCCTTAATTTAATTATCATGTATTTCTTCAGGGTTTTTTTTTCTTAATCCTTTCTTTTGGCTAAGTATAGGTTTAGTGCAGGCAATCACAAGTTCCAAAAATTAATACAAAACAAACTACGGTTTTTTTCTTTCTCCTAGCAGCATAATTATTTCTACTCCTTGATACTTAACATAGCTATTAAAACTATAATTCCGGCTGAATTGTTTTCTAGCTTGGGTTTTTAAAAAAAATTAATTTTAAAACACTTTACTTTTTTAAATTGAGATATAGAGTTGGTTTGACCAATCTAATAAATCAATTTATAACCTCATCAATTCATTTAAAATTCGATTTGTTTTTTATTAAAAAAATCAAAATAATTAAAAAAATAAAACAATATCTTCTAATCTAATCAACCTCTTAAACTTGTTGATGAATCTAACCAAATTTAATTACTATGCTAATTAATTAGACTTCCTTTATGTACTGAGAAAAAAGTATTTATTCCATGAACTATAATTGCCTTCCAATGCAATATATGTTGATTTAATTGAAGTTCTAAGTCGAACTTGTATTTATCAAGCATTATATATATATATATATATATATCTTTGCTTTCTTTCCACTCTTTTGATCTTAATCTTGAGTAAACTGGTGATTAAAAAAAACTAGTTATGAACTTTTGGTTAGTGCTGAATTAAAAAGGAAAAAAGAAGAAGAAAAAGAAAGTGGAAGGGTGCAGCCACAAACTTTATATATATATATATATACACGGAGCTTTCAGCACCAACCTCTGTGCTGCGGCCGCTATTGTGTTAAGAAAAAAGTAGCCATGGGTGGAGCCTCAAAACCAGCAAAAAGCATCTACAACTATCCGCAAGCTTGTGAAAAAGAAATCCCTTTTTCAATTGATAGATCTTTTGGTGATTTCATTTTAGGAAGGTAAGTGTGCTTTTCTAGTTGCTTCCTCATGGCATCAGCTCTCCTTTAATCTGAAGCTTTGCCTCTGGTGTGCTCAAAATTCTAAGCCACCTAATTAAAATTTATAATTAACAAAACCTAAAGGAGAAAGAGATTTTATTATGCACCCCTCACGAAATATTATTTACAGCATTTTTTTTAATCTATATATGTTGTTTTTACTCTCTTTAATTAATTTTATTATTTTTTATTTTTTTATTGAAGATTAAGTTTTATAATTTATTATGGACTAGTTTTTTTAAAAGGTTATAGTCTTATGACTCATATCGTAGATTTGATGAGTTTATTCATTTGATTCGAGTTTTTTCTTCTTCTTTTTTTAATTTTATCATTTAACATTAAGATAATTAAGAATTAAGTTTAATGATTTGTTTTGATTTACTTTATAAGAGGTTATTATGATCTTTTAATTTAGGTCATAGGTTTTGCGAGTAAAGTCGGGTTGTTTTATTATTTTTTTATGTATGTTTTTTCAATTTTATTATTCAACAATAGGTTTATTAAGAATTGAAATTCATAATCTATTTTGATCTGCTTTTTATAAGATTATCTTAGTTTAATGACTCGAGTAGTGGATTTGGCTGGTTAACTCGGGTTGACTCGGGTTGATTTTTATTTTATTTTATTTTATATGAGGTTATCTTGGTATCATGACTCGTGTCATGATCTTGGTAAGTTAACTAAGTTAACTTGGGTCTTTTTTTGTTTTATTTTTTTATTAGATTTTTTTTTCAATTCATCATTTAACATTAGACTAATTGTAAATTAAGCTTCATAATTTATTTTTACTTACGTTCTATGTCGTTATCTTAGTCTCATGACTCAGATTATGGGTTTGGCTGGTTGACTTGGTTTTTTTTAATATTGAGTTATTTTATAATTGAGCTTCGTAATTATTATTTTTAATTTTATATTGGGTTATCTAGTCTCATGACTTAGGTTGTAAATTTGACAGATAAACCCATATTGATTCAATATATTGGCATCACAATATTTTTTTAAAAAGATATCGACTTGATTTTTTAATCAAATTATATTTTTACTGATTGTTTGATTTGCATTTGAAATCGCCAAGTTGACATATCATATCAAGTTCAAACCCATAAATTTGAAAAAAAACAATTACTAGAAAAATATTAACAATTCCTAAATATTTTATTTTTTATCAAAAAAATTTTATCTATAGCATTGTGCGCGAGCTAATCATCTTGTATGATTTGAGGCTGTAAGCCATCTTGAGAATTATTTAGGCAAGAAAATATAGTTCTGTAAAGTACAAATACAAACACAAGATACGGATACAACATTAACTAATAAGATGATGTAGAAATTGTTTTAAAAAAATAACATGATATTTATGGGTAAGTTAATTACACACATAACAAAATTATTTTGAAAGTAAATAAAAAATTAGCACTTAAAAATCAATATAATGAATTATGTGTGTAGAAACAAAAATTTTCTACCAATCAAATTTTGCCATATGTTATTTTTATTTTATTTTTTTATGAAAGAAAAAAATAAATTTAAAATAAATGACTTAGAAAATAAATGAGTTTTCATATATTTCTTGGCCAATGAAAGGTTGACATTTGGGATAAGGTATTCAAGATATCTTATCATAAATACAAGATCTCATCAATAAAGATCAACCACTAAAATCATGTCATGTGACATTGGAAAAATAGTTGGGAGCCCTTACAAATCTTTGTAAATAGAGGGTCTCAACTTAGAAGAAAAGAAAGAGAAGAATTCTTATAGATACAAATTTTCTTCAAAACAAGAAAGCTTTATCTTCAAACAAGGAAGCTCTCTTAAAAGTTCTTAAGCCTCCTTCATTTACACTTGAAGTATACAAAGAATGAAGCTTTGTTGGATCAAGCTTAAACACCCTATAAGAGTTCTTCAACAACACTTTGAACACAAATCAAAAGTACTCTTCAAAACATTAAATCACTAAATCTTGGTTCTTGATACACATCCAAAATCAATGTTCTTGCAAAGTATAAATCTTGGCTTGATTTCACAAATAAATTAAGTCATCATATATCAAATCCAAAGGAAGAATCAGAGGATTATCTTGTTTTTTTCAAAAAAAATACTTTAGATAGAGATTGTTCCTGGTCATATATTTAATAAAATCATATATTTGTATATGTGTGCTTGTTCAATTTCAAGTGCTCAAAATTATGTCTATAAATTTTTGGCACTCAAGGCGACTCCACTGGGAAAATCTTTACCTCTTATCTATTCCCTTTAAAAGAGAATTTTCAATAAACTCTCAGTGATAACTAAAAGGAACATGATCACCATTATCATTTTCTAAAGCAACAAGACTACTGATTCAAGTCATCAACATACCATTAAAGATTCTTCAACCTTATTATTGAAACAAAATTCATTATCGAGTTGCATGCATAAACCAAGCCGACCCTCAAGTTTACATCAAATTCAAATGTAAGAGGGGCACGAGATCTAGCTCTAAGGATGAAGCTACAAGTAACTCCACTATAAAAGTTAACAGGGCGCATGGAATTCTCTTTGGCACTTAAGGCGATTTTGACAATTCACTTATTAAGACTTTTTCGAGTCAATCACTAAGTAAGGCTTTGAGTTTTGACATTATGTTAGTGATGACGACCAAGACGACATCATTAGAGGATTGTGTGGCTAACTTGACCGTCAAGGGGCTTTCAACTTCACTCAAAGAAAAAAACCACGAGATAGCAAACTTGATGAACAAACACGACGGCATGAACGAAGGATGCCAAACCTCAACTACCAAGGCTTTGTAAGTAGATCAATTCGATGACATTAAGAATTCTATAATTGGAGCTACAAGGAATATACATGGTATTATTAATGACATCATCACCATGAATCAATTGAAAGAACTTATTAATGAAGCCATCACAAACTAAGTAGAAAGCTCAGTTCAATCCTTGTATTTTTATACGAAGTATACACCTAAAGAATTGACCCGTTAAAGATGCCTCTAAGCTATCACCATCAAAGTTTCAATAATTTGATGGCAAAGGGAATCCTAAGCAATAAATATTGCTCACTTTGTGGATACTTGCAACAATGCTAAAACTGATGGCAATCTCAAAATAAAATAGTTCATTCATTCCTTGAAAGGTAATGTCTTCGACTAGTACACTGACTTGCAATCTGCCTCGATTGATATTTAAGAGCAATTGGAGCGCGAGTTTTTTAACCACTTTTATAGCACTTGTCATGTGGTTGGTATGATTGAACTCATTAATGCACGTTAGTGGAAAGAAGAGAATGCCATCGACTCATTTATTAATGGAGAAATCTTAGCCTCAACTATAGAGATCGGCTCATCGAAACTTCTGTACTAGACATGTGTATTCAATGGATGCATCGAGGGCTACGTTATATTTTACAAGGCATCAAACCAAAGTCTTTTAAAGAATTAGCTATTCGTGTATATGACATAAAACTTAGCATTGTGGCAATGGAAAGCTCATTATTACCTATGCAAGAGCTAAAGAGAAATAAGCCTGAAGGTTGTAGATTCGAAAAGAGCACTCTAAAGATTGAAGGAAATCAGTTTTTAGAGTTAATTCGACTGTCATAAAGGTACCAACTGGAGTTAAAAGGAATGATCGTACAACACTAGTTACTTTTCAAAAAGGTGAAAGAAAAAAAAATCATCCTTGACAGAGCGATAAGAAAAGTGTATTCATTCCCCGACTTAAACATATCTAGAATGCTAAATGATCTACTTGAGGAAAATCTCATTTTTTTGTTGGAGGTAAAACGCCCTAAAGAAGCAAACCAAGTGGACAATCCAAACTATTATAAATACCATTGCTTGATTGGTCATCCTTTAAAGAAGTATTTTTTGCTGAAAGACAAGATTATGAGGCTACACGAGAAGGGGGATATTATTTTTTATTATGAAATAGTAGCCTCTAATATCACAACCATAATCAATTTAGGACAACACTAGTTATT